ATATATATAATGACCATGCTACATGTACATTGACCATGCTACACGTGTATCCAAATAATTAAGGAAAGCTTACAGCTCAAAAAATTAAGAGATACACACTGCTATAAAAAACGTTTATCACTCTCAGGCCTATGATTCCGTGGTCGACAATTTAGCTCCATCTTTATACGATAGTAGCTACACGAATAACCTCCAGGCATAGCAGGATTGCAACAGTAAAATCAGAGCAAAGACACCGTTAGCTATAGCGATATTCCAATACCAGCATCGAGACGAGGCTCTACATGTATTTCAAGAAACTGTAGTCATATAGCTGTTATATATATACACAATGTCGGTAAATAGATAGTGGTTTTGTCCTGATTGAAGCGTGTGTCAATTTATTAATGCATGAAGACCCCATTACTTATGATTGGCAAACAGAACAACGAACTGTGTGATTTTCGTACCAGCCCCCTCCCCTATAGCGATTTTGCTTTATGAACAGTACCACACCTCTTTATGGTGCAATGGGTAAACTGTGCTTTCGTATATAAAACAATGTGCTGATGCGGGCACATCTTCATTAAAGACTACAGAACGTGTTTGATGTATTAAGCACTGGCTGCTGAGCTGCTCCTAGCTTGAACAGAGTGTCGTGGTCGAGTCCCATCACCGGGATAGCTCTTTCCTTCTGAAAATAGTTGGTACACACACACGGTGTGTCTGATGTACACATCTGTGGTTCAGGAGGACCATCATAGTGACTCTGTGGGCTACTTTCTTCCTTATTAGGAATGTCTCTGGCACCAGCTCCTAGCAGTAGTTTCACCACCTCTGAATGACCTTTCCATCCTGATAGAGCAAGGCTGTGCTTCCTTCATGTGGTTGATATTATAATAGAGACCATCATAGTTAATATGAAGTGCTGTGTAAAACATTATGAAAGAGACATGCATTGGATCATTACATAGTGTAGCACTTACAAGTGTTAAAATAGTAGTGACCAAAAAAGCGACAGTGGCACAATTCGAGTAGTTGTTGTCTGGGCTGCCATTGTGACAAATAATACTTTGCCACCCTACACACATGGCTCCTCTCAATCTAATACCCACAGAGTGATTGGGTGAGAGGAGGGTGTTGCCACTCCTCCTGCCCGGAGTACAATCACAGGACTAAACCTGGAAGTAATGGAGCCCGTCCATTAACTGAAATATGTTCCTGGAAACTATCAGTTGTTGTTAAGGATTGTCAAACAATCACTCAGACCCTGACTCCCACCATGACATCAACCACACAAAACTTGCACTTGTGTGCATGCGTGTGCAGAGATGCAAGTAGCAAAAAGTATGTTGATTTTGACAACCAAAAAACCTCTCAACCTGTTCTGGTGTTGACGTTGCTCCTGCCTTCAACAGTCTTGAACTGTCTCAGTGTGTCCATTCTGGCAGATATCCCCAGAGGAACAGAACCACTCTGATGAGAGAGAGCGAGAAACTGTGAATTGATGTGTTCAGCATTGGCAGGTCAGTGAGACCAGGACACCTCAGAGTGTGGTTTCAGAGGATCAGGGAATGAGACATGACACTAACCAATACTCAGACAATACAATGTGTCAGAACACAGACGTGCAAATGGAGCTATAAAAAGAGTAAGAATGCTGCGTTCTCACGAAAACTAAGAGAAAAAAGTAAGTTCCGTATGAAGGGTGAGTATATGGGATGCAGTGTTTCCTAAAATGTTAGCTACTGTGTATTATACCTGATTGTAGAGTGAGACAACGGGAAACTATATAGACCATTATTGTGGGATAAGACACAGACATGTACACATAAATTCTTGCATCCAATGTGTATTATGCAAATGTGCATCTGCAGGTTACACACATTTTAGTGACATGTGTTGCACTAACAAAAGTGCTTGACAGCTTTGTTGTACATACCAATCTCAGTGTTGAGGTCTAGTCAGAGCTCTTGGCTACATCACTGCCACCATGGTTGGTGGACAAATGAGATGACTAGCTCTAGAACAACCGTGTATCATACCTTGGTGGTGGCCTGGTGGACATCAGCACCAGCCTCTAGCAGAATGTCCACTACATCAGAGTGTCCTTCATGACTGGCAGCATAGAGTGGACTGAGACCATCCTGTACAGTGAGAGAGTATGAAGTGGGGTTTACTTCCAGTCTGGAACATGTAATTACGTACCAACAGTGTTTGCTGACATGCATGGCTATTTGTTAGCCATTGCCTAGAAATCAATGCACTAATTTCAGACAACTGGAGGGTGTGGAAAGTAAGCCCATGATAAAAGGGGATCACCAGTTAGCAAAGTTGTTACATTCCCTTGACTGGGGTGCATTATTCAGCTCTGAAGCTTGTGCAGATATCATGTTACATCCAAGGCCGCCTTGTATGAAACTTCCCACATTTTTATGGCTAGCCTCAGCCTCACTACTCCATTGACAACCCGACAGCGCTGAGTACACAATCTGTATGAGGCTAGTAGTAAATTATTATGGCTCTGGTCTCAGCCATTGCACAATAATCCTACAATTACTCACCAACTTTTTGGATTATTTATTTTACACTGTATATGGCTTGAAAGTTTTAGTCCACAGCAATCGACAGGAGTATTTTAGGTCAACAGATGAGACATGAGAGTGTCCGAAACAACTAGTTTGCAGTTTTACTTAACCAGCTACAGAGAGTGTAACAACTGTACAATACCTTATCACAGATACTGATGTCAGCTCCATTCTCTATCAGCAGTTTAACTACAGCTGTATGACCCTTCCAGGAGGCAATGTTGACTGGAGTATCGCCATTCTGTAGAGAACATACAACAGAACACTGGACATGTGGGACATGGTGTGAGGTGAGAACAGAAATAATTAATTTCTAACAATATTAACAATAATGTGGGGAGTAAATGAGAGAGTTACACAAAAGCGCGACACGCGACGATTGTAAATTTTAACTCCATTTCGTCCATTTCAAGTTAAGTAAAACTTGACAGTATGTGTGACAGTGGCTTCCTTGTTTTCTGTATGAAAAGCTGGATTCAAAAGTAGGCTCACTTGGCTCACCAATTATCTCTATAGACTACTGCACGTGAGCCTGGGAACAGGGCTATCCATAACCTTGTTCTGGTGGTTGACGTTGGCTCCTGCCTCCAACAGTCTCTGAACTGTCTCAGTATGTCCATTCTTGGCAGCTATCCCAAGAGGAACACTGCATTTTTCCTGCATGGAAAGAGAAGTGGTCAATTGAATTTGGCCACATTAATTTTATGCAAACAAACCAATACACGTTGACTATAAAATAATGCTACCTACTGCACAGGTTTTCACTAGCCACAAGGAGGATCAGGATCTTACTTACTGCAAGATGACATAACTTTGATCATTTCATGGACTTGTTTTGAGTCTACAAGGAAGGCAAGACACAGAGGCAGGAGGTGCTGGAGGATCACCAATAGGAGGGGTGGTCCCCCAATCTTCCTGACAAGCTTGCTTTTACTACTATTGTCACCACTGCATCGTAATTACAAGAAACACAGTTGACAACATTTACCTACTGGATGATTTGGCACCATAAGGAAATTGTATATTGGGTTATTGTCAGCAGCGAGGGTTATGGCAGTTGGTCGTGTGTGTGTGTGTGTGTGCGTGCGTGCGTGTGTCCGTCCGTCTGTCCGTCTGTCCACCGTTTTTCTCGGTAACCGCGGCAACTCTGAGCGTGAAACGTGGAAATATTTTCAACTAGGAGGAATGCATGGTAAAATAAGATTCTGGAGCGGAGAAGGCCGGGGAAGCTGGTGAAATGGACGGCTGCTGAGGTGAGTGTGCGTCAAATAGAGATCGCGAACCATCGTTGTACTTGTAGCTAGATGCTAGATGCTTTGCGCGTGTGGAGAAGATTTGCTGGTCTGCCTGTATTGATGTACAGTTGAGTAGGATCGAGATTGCCGGTGAAGCACATGCCAGTGAATCCGTTCAGTGAAGGAGTCACTGAGGTAGTGTAGCTGGCTGAATAGTGGTGAGGGTTGTCAAGACCAGTGCTTTTCACTTTGCTGTAGTAGTAACTAGTATTGAACGCGCATGTGCCAAAAACTGCTGAAGTAAAGAATAAAGTGGCGAGGGTTATGCACTTTCAAGTTCACTTGAATACAAACACAACATTTCCTCACAAACCTTGGTTGTTGCCTGATGTACATCAGCTCCTGCTTTCACCAGAACATCCACCACCTGAGAGTGTCCCTCCTGACTGGCAACATAGAGTGGACTGAGACCATCCTGTACAGTGAGAGAAAACTAATGAGACATTCTTGACTCACTACTGACCACTCATCTCCCTCCCTGGATACCAGGAGACCTGACAACCATCTCAGTCAGGTCTCCTCCTCATCCAACCTTCACAAGTCTATAGTCTACACTTCTCACTATAGGCTAACAGTGAAAACCTCACATACTGAAGAACAATAAGTTAATAAGCTAACAACAACACTGTGTACATAAAGACAATAAACAGAACAGTTCCAAAACCTTGTCCGGAATGAAGACTGCAGCCCCAGCCTTGAGCAACAGACGTACAACCTCAACATGGCCTTTCCAAGAGGCTAACAGTAGAGCAGTGTCTCCTTCCTGCAAGTGGTGGGGATACAGAGACCAGTGGAGCAGCAGTCAATGAACTGAGTCACAAATGAGACTATACATTCACTAGTACAGAGCCTCACATCCTCTGTCCTGGAGTTGATATTGACAGAAGTGGAGAGGAGTCTCTCAACTGCCTTCACATCTCCTCTCTCAGCAGCATCGTGGAGATCTGTTCTTCCCTGGGGAGAGGGAGATACAGAATGATGGGTGGAAAGAGGATGATATCAATATTGGATAAAGTGTGCATAGAAAGAGGTTTAGTGGAATAGTAACCTCCTGTTGTACAAACCTTGGTTGAGACTTGTGTATATCTGTATAGGGAAAGGTACTACTGAATGTTGTCTAAAAAGTTATTGACATAACAATACCTGAACTGGCAAGACTGGACATGTTGTGTAAAGTCAGACAACTCTCCTTTCCACCAACAGCCTTTCTCCTTGTGACGACAGAACACATGGAGCTCCTTGACTTGTCGACGGACGTGTTTGTCCAACAGAGTACTCCAGTCAGGAGCCTTGCAGAGTGGACATGGTCCTCCCTCTCCCTGTATTCTGGTGGCAGACTCCTCTGAGAGATATTTACCACAGCAGGACATGAGGTGAGGCTGGAGCAGTAGACCCAACGTCACTGGACAGAAGAAATCCTCTGATGGCTTCTCAACGAATGGGTAATCCTCTTCTGGTGAGAGACGTGGTTTTTTTGCTTTGGGTCTGGATGGATGGTATAGTTGTAATGGAGTTCTAGATTTCATCACTAGGTATAGTAACATACTGAGTAGGTGATTTCTCAGCAACACCACCAGCTGAAGGTCCTGCACCAAGTGACGAGACTGCTGCTGACTTCTGCAGTACAGTTAAAGATAGACATGGAGGTAACAAGGAGTTTTATTATACAACACACAATCTCACCTGAGGAGGTGGATAAACCTTGACTCCAGCAATTTGAAGGCTAACGGCAGTGTACTTCTTGAGGATGCGGTGAGGGATGTCTTCTCTCAGTTTCTTGACAATGGACTCTGGTATGAACCAGGTGATGATGAAGGAGCCTGGAAGGACTTTAGCCAACAGCATGGCACAGTCTCGAAGCTTGTAGTGATAGGCATACTCTTGTCGAAACTGCTCCACAACTTCCAGTGTAACTTCGTGCGGCCAGTCAAACTCTGCGACAATTTCCTTGAATTCCTCAGACGGCTTCCTTCTCCTCCTCTTCTGGCACTGGCAGAACAGAGCTAGTGGTGTCTTCTGGCGGAATCTCTGCAGATCTAGCTTGTAGGCCTCCATCTCCGTCCCCACCTCTAAACCAAACTCCTTGATGAGGTAGTCAAGCAACTGGTAGGACAGGTAGTCCCAGTGAAGGACACTCAGCTTTCCAATCAGCTCCGGGATATCTGTTGACTGATAGAGATCACTTAGATTTTGTTTCAGAAACTGTCTATGTTCATCGTTATCATCTGGAGACATTGACGTAAGAGCGTCAACTACTTGCTTGACTGAAATCTTGCGTTTCTCGAGGCACCCCCTGGCAGCCTTCTTCAGGTCATTGAACCTCTTCTCAAACCTTCTAATCTTGGCCTGGACATACTGAGTGGTCATTGGACCTGTTGGACAGACCATGGTCACATAGAGTTATGGATCAGTGACAATATCCCAGACAGGTGTGGAGCATACGTACTAGGCTGAGGTGACTCTGGTCGATGCTGGAGCTCAGTCACGGTATCCCCAGTTGCTGGAGATGAAGGAATAGGGCGTTATACACTCATATTGTACACAATGTACACAGCCACTCTAATAAGATTCATTGTTTCCTGAATGTATAAAGCATGCTAACTTTATTCATTGCTACTATAACAAAAACATTTAAAACAGTTTTGAGTGGGTGTGGTTCAACTGCATACTTATTTGCATGGACATCAACATAATTGCTGCGTCCAATGGCAGTGGCACAAGCTAGAGGTAAAACATTCTACTACTAATGAAAGATTGACACATGAGTAAGCTTATAGCAGTATGTTGGCTAGGAATATTTATGTAGCCAAATGATGAACGCATGTCATCAAAAAGCATGACTGTGAAGTGACTGGCAGAGAATCGAGCAATACATTTTATGTGCTACACTTTTTAACAGCTACAGTTGTGGACTAACTTGGTTGTGGCAGGTCTGGTTGAGAGTCGACTTCAGTGAGTGGTGAGGCTCCAGAACCTGTGGAAACATGGAGTATTCAAACATGTCTTGTAGAAATATGTATTATCTTGAGAACCAACAGACAGCCTAAATTTGGACAAAGTTAGGTAAGTCAGAGAGAGAGAGAAAGAGAGAGAGAGAGATTATAATGAAAACTGAGGAGAAGAATCTCCTACCACTGGTTTCAGGTACGACCGCTGGTGTAGTGTCAGGAAAGTGAGCTGCCTCCACAGCCATTGCTAGCTGAGGAAGATTGACTGCAGGACTTTTGAGGGCATCTACAATGACTCTCCAGGTTGGTCTCGGCTCTACTTGGTTCAGGAACTCCAACACGATCTGAAGAAGGCGTTTGCGCGGCTCGGAAACGGTTGCGTGGATGCTCTTTACATCGTGTGGCTTTAGATTCAGCCTCAGTCCCAGTTCGTAGGACTCGTTCTGTGCTGGGAGTAGCTCCTCCAGTACTTTGACGGCATCGTTTGGAGTCAGGACCTCGCCACCCGTCGTCGGTGCTGTGTACATTGGATAAGGTTATGTTAGCGATCAAGGCCACTCTAGATTATTGGCCAATTACCTTCGGCCATTACTAGCAAAATATTTCTGGGACGGGCAGGGCCATAAGCTCCACCCACTCTTTTTACAAGCTAGAGCGCGCGCTGTAGCCCGCGCGTCAAGTCCACTGCAGCATACTAGTGTCATAGAGTAGCTGGAGGGTCTGTTTCCTACATGTGTATATACGTATAGTACGTAACTGAATTTGGATGATGTGACGTCTTCACTTTCGAGATCAGCTGATGCCTATATACACTTTTAGTTGGAGGATATATTCAGATACGGTTAGATTTTGCTACCCTCTTCCTCTTTCTTCTCTCCATCTCTCTTCTCCACAGCTATTAAAAAGCCCTGTCAATAAGTTGGCAAAATATTATACTCTCATGACAGTGCTATTATGTCATTAGCTACTTGCCACTGCAACGACGTAAAGAACTAATGGTGAAAAAGTAAACCAGAGATTTCAGTTGGTGTACAATCAGTGGTAGCTAGTTAGTCCAGTCAAAGTCAGTCCAGTCATCCAGGACTGCAGTACGGACCAGAGCCTCACACACCAGGTAGGGATCACTGTTACTGGACGGCCGTCTGTCCTCAAGGTAGCCTCGACCAGCTACACACACACACACACGTCATGTGGAAGAGGAGGGGAAGTTGAAATTGTCACTATCATACCAATGCCTACTAGGTAATGTAAAATTGTGGATTCTGTATAATAATTACTATAATTATAGTAGGCGAATGTATTTTTGGTGAGCGGGAGCGAGCACACAATGACCATATCTGCACGAGCCATCCTAGCCAATTCTGGAGGTGCTGAAGTTGCAGTGGCCTCCAGCCCCGTTCCAGTCTCCGGCATGGGTTTGGGGTCCAGTGTCACTATCACTCCGAAATCCTCCGCCACACGGTGCAAGATGTACCTGCAGCCACATACAGTGAATGAAGTGACATCTATTTGATATACATGTACACATATTTTTGTGGTGACAGTGTTTGTTCTTAATAAGAAGTTGAGGGCTAAAACAAAAAGGTATGTGAGGCTTGCACATAAATCTACAGATAGTCCGTGAAGCAAGCAACACAAAGTGTAAAAGCTGCCTTGTGAGGGACTTTGACAACTGAGCACAAAATCTACAGCACACTACAAGGCAAGGTTGAACCCTTGTTCCCAGGCCTTCCTCACAACTAGGGTGTACATTTTGAGCTGTCAAACATACCTCAAGACAAGATCAAGACACGAAATGGGTATATACACACATTAGGCACACTGGGTATACGAGTTCCTTTGAAATCTCTCTAGTTTGTACATAACACTGGAGTATGTACAGACCTGGAGACCCATAGTTCATCGTTCAGGGTTCTAACGCCAAATGAGTACACAGAGATGATGACGGAGAAAGACAGAAGAGAGAAAGAAGCAGCTGAGATGAAGCAGAAACGAAAGGAGGAAAGAGAACAGAAGAGGCCCGCGAAAGGAACAGGAAAAAGAGAGGAAGAGAAAGGAGCGGGAAGAGAAGAAAAAGCAGAGCAGCAGCAGCCAAAGGAAAAAGAAAGGGAAGAAACTTAGTCGTAGCTCAAGTGAAGATGAACCCCCTGCTAATGGAAGTGAGGACGAGGGTGGCCACCAGAGTCGTACACGCACAATCAGGGCTCCTGATCGGTACCAAGACGAGAGCGATGCTGATAGTGAGGCAAGCAACAGACTATGCATCATCTGCTATGCAAGGGAGACCCTGTTTCTGCAAGCGTGGTGTGTTGGGTTGACTGTGACAGTTGTGGAGAGTGGGCACACACACACACACTGTGCTCTGGGTAACAACACAGGTTCACGTCAGTTTGTTTGTTCATCATGTTGTGCTTGAATTGAATGGGGTATGCTGTTTGTATGCTGCTGAGGTGATTTTCCACTTATCAGTGTACATTAACCCACCCACACATAACATGCCACATGCCCTGCACTATGGAACACATTCTATGTACATTAGGTACATACATGGCTATCTACAGTAGTATCGTATATGCAGCTGTACATATGCTAAATATTAGCATGCAGTAGTGACTGACTGACTGACACAGCACATGACCCCACCACCTGTAGATTGCTGCACTAAGGATTAGCACTGACTGACACAGCACATGAGCCAGTGGATTAGCATGTAATGCAGGACTAGCTGCATGCATGCCTGGCCTTTGTTCACAGTTGGTTGAGCAACCACCCTCTACATACTGAGGATGGCGCAGTACTAACGACCGCTACTTTACCAACAGTTGTTTACTGCCACCAAGTAACCAAGCAACAAACAAAACCTCGGTCAAAATATTGAGCTTAGTTATGTCAATTGTTACACAGAGACACAAGGGCATCCAATCTTGCAGGGCCGATGATTCTCAAGTCTGTATGTATAGCACAAGTCACATGACACATCCTAATGATGTCATATGATGATTGTGAGTGTCTGATAAAAGGACTGAGGAATGTCAGATGTGAAAGTTCTTTAGTCACATGATAACCTCTATCCACCTACAAATATGGCTGTACATATCCATGAACATAGAGCCAATTATCCTGCATGCATTTTAATTGCTTTCTGTTTCTCCATGTTTAATTGGTACAGGTACACGTCTACACATAATATGACATAAGATGGCATTTCTGGCATTGCATACATACGTTGTATGGAGTAGGGCGGGAGGATATACACGAATATTCGAAGGTTGCACTGTATTTATACATACACTGCAACTTTCCAATAATGGACATGTTGGGACTAGGGAGGTTGCCCATTAAAAATGAACTAGAATAATGGAAATGTGAATGTTTTGGACCTAAAAGTGTGAACATATATACGTCCTTTATCAGTTGTTCTTCTTCAGAGGTTAATTACATACGGCAAGCCATAGAAAGTAAGTTAATAACAGCAACGAAGTAATCTTATTAATCTAGCGCATCTGTAACCTAACATTGCATAACGTGCCAGTAAGCAGCATGCACACTGCCCACGCAGTAAGTACCACCTCACCTCATTATTAGGTCATGTGACTGCAACCCCACACACATAATCTGACAGGTAATTAACTAATACTGCTAGAGTTGCATAGGGAGGCGAGAGCACCGTATGTCACATCCAAAGAGTGCAATTAAGATATCAATAGGTGTAGCTAGTTGTAGCATGCTTTGTTGAATAATACTTCTGTACATTTATAGAAAAATATGTGAAACTTCGTTCACCTTGCTTTGCTAGTATTATCCCCATTACTATGCAATGTGCAATATAATTATGCTATGGCAGATCCTAACAGTGTAAAACATGGGCAGAGATACATTCAGAGCTCTGAACTGCACTATGGGCAGAGCCAGGTTTGTTATTATTGTAGTGTAGGTTGTAGATTGTAGATTGTAGATTGCAGATTGTAGATTGTAGATGCTGGATATAAGATGAAGCCATTGGGTATTGCAAATTCCATACCAGTCTCTGACACAAGGGCTATATTAGTGCCTGTTTCAACAGTTATGCAATCAGCATCAGGTCTAGAAGCATTACTGCAGTCAGGCTCTGACCAGACATAGACAATAGAGTCTACCAAACAATGACATCAAGAAGGTTATGGAATGCAGCTAACACCCTGACAGCCAGCAATCTTGGAAGATAGGAAATGGGAATTTTACATATCAACACACAACAAATGGATATCTAATGGGAAAAGGAAGCATTTTTGTTTCTGCAACTCTCAAAGGGCTGCTCAGAAACCCCACCACCTCTGCCAAAGCCGAGTATTTCCTGCGCTACACAGTGGTCAGGGACCTCGACAGTCTCCCAATCCTGCCAGTGTTCTCGGGGATGTCCACCCATTCCTGGTGGAGTCCAGCACCCACTTCAGTCACATGGTAGAGAAACAGTGCCTGTCTCCAGGGAACGCCATTCCTGTCCCACCTTTCTTTGATGATGAAGTCATTGCCACATGTGGGAACTGAACAATATTCATTACCTTTGTATTTACACGTCATTCTTGAGAGATTTATGCTAGCCAGTTCTGCGCATATTGTGTCTTGTCTCGCATGTGCACTGGTTTTCATGTTTACTGATGTGCAATTGTATTCTTTGTGGATTATGTTCAGGTGGAGTGGAAGTATAATCACCACCATTTCCTGGAGGCCCTAGTAAAGATTATACATAAGAGCAGGTAGCTAAGTGTTGTCAACTAATAACTAACTACTTCTAGTACACGTACATACTGGTAAACTCCTACTGTTCAATGGGATAGTATAATGACTCCCATGTTTCCATCTTTGACCAAACACCAACAAAAGTAAGACGCCGTTATTTCAATTAACAGCAGTGTCAAAACGAGGCTCTTCATGCATTTTTAAGGAACGTGTAGTGATTATTTATTTCTGGGTGTAGGCAAACACACAGTGTTTTTCTGGTTGAAGCCCAACTGATTTACCAGTTGTTTGGTCATCACTGTTGGGGTATGTGGTCCCTAGTATTGTGCTGTTTGTAGCATCAATGTCCACCTGTTTTATCTCCACTGAGAGATTGTAAGTGAGAGTCACAACTTGTGGAACTCTGAATCGAAATGAACAAGTGGAACTCTGAGTTAAAATGAATAGTTATAGTCGTTTGATGGTATTTGTAGCACAAGGTTCGTAGTTAGCGAAACTCTGTTTTTCCGCCCAGAATCCTGTGTCTGCAGTCCTTACAGTTTGGATCAAAATGGAGGCCGTTTTTAGGCTGTGTCGCTGTATCGATTGGAAGGTTTGGCTAAAGGCAAAGAAAGACATTATACAGAAGTTGAATGTGTTTCAGCTTATAGCTACACACAGGCGTTGAGAGATCTCCACCAGCTGAATTTCCTTCTGAGATATGATAAACTAATATAAAACTTTGCCCTATGCTCTTGTGAAACCATTTCTGTGCATGCATTAGCCATTAGCATCAGGTTCCTTCATGACGATGGGTCTTGGTGGATGTTATAAGAATTGAGGTAATTTTGCAGTAGAAGGGTTGTGAAATGTTGCATCTACATACATAGTAAGCCTAAACAATAGAGTCATTTTTCTTATGTAAAAGATATGCAGCATAATATTAGTCTAAACATTAATTAAAAAGAGTCAAATCTAAACAAAAATATGTAAAAGATAGGCAGTGTAATAAGATACTGTACCACATCATTGTGGTTGTTGGCTCTGGCCATACTCAGAGCAGTGCTTCCATACTGTAGAGACAAATAGACATCCATTAGACGTGTGTCAGATTAATAATGCATGAAGACCTCCCATTACTATGATTGGCAAACAGAAGAGAACAGTTCGGTAGTACCCAGCCCCCTATAGCGATTTTGCATGAACAGTGCCACACCTCTTTATTGTGTGCAATGGTAAACTATGCTTTTGTAGAAACAATGAGCATAATATTTGGGCAATCTTAATCAGAGCGTCGGTAGACGCTCTATATAGGGATGAGACGAGTGAAATCTCACGTGATCCGCGTACAAAACGCCTCAAAACTCAGCGAGAATGACTCACCATGGCTTCAAAATCACTAGCAATAGTCTAGAGGCCAATACCTAGCTATATATATGCCCCAAGACTTCCTACGTGCCCTCAGTTCCCCACCACAGAATTCGCTCTTACGCGATTTCGCGATTTTCGTGTCATCATAATCATCATATTCTTCTTCTTCTTCTTCTTCTTCTTCAGACCCGCTAGCTCCTTACCGGAAGCAGTTGAAGCGTTGATTTTTTCACAGAACGTCTCCAAATTTTCCGGAGGTGTGCACGCATATCAAGCGATCGCTTGTTTCTTGCCGCAAGTCACTACGGTAGATCGTTGAGCTCTTCCACGGTAGTCACTGAACAACGCCATTTGCTGCTAACTCAGCATCAGTGAGCCGCATGCGCCGAGGAGGGCGTTTCCAATGCGGTGCGCGCGCATTTTGCCTGATCCACGAACGAGACTAAGCCAGGACTGGATGCCTGCAGAGAAAACTACTCTCATCCTCCAGTGCCTTCTGTAAGTCAGTGTACACTTTGTAAGTGGCTAACTTGCGTTTTGCTGTTGATTTGCACGAGGAGCAACTTGGCAGTGTGCGCCGTGTTACGCGGGCCTTGCACAGCGCCTTCATTCTTTGTCCCCCAGGTTATAGCTATCATTGTAGTCTGATTACTGAAGCCTGCCTATGAAACCACCCCACCATATGTGCCACAATCTAATTGCATCCTTGTTGGAGACACTACACATACACCCTGCTTCAGGTAGGAGCAGCCCATTAGCTTCTGCTTTCAACAGTTATCTCTACAACACCCATGAACATCAGAGTGACTGAAAATGCAGTGTTTTCATAAGGCGTGAAAAATAGTGGAAACAAGTGGAAAAATCATTTCTTCAAAATGAAAGGGGGATATAGGGATGGCTTGAAGCACCAAAAAGGAAGAAACAAGGGGTCATTACACAGCAAAGATGGACAAAGCTACATGACACCATCCCTATATCTTTGTGTTATTGTTCACAACCAATCTCGCCCTGCTGACATTTTCCTCCCTAATTGGGAAAGAGCCGCGCTTGCCGTCTCTGTCATTTCCACTCTGCAACAGCTTACCTTGAAGCAAAGTTTAATATGAGACAAAGATATAGGGATGGTAGTGATATTATTTCTACCAATTTCTGCAGATGTTCTTGGCTGATGACTATGAGCTACAGGGACTGTGCAAAGGATACTGTCCTTTCTGTAGGACCTCCATTGACTCTCTATAGTCTTACATACATAATAATGAGAATTTGATGCAGGAGTTGTCTTCATTGTAGATAATTGCGGTATTTATTTACTTACGAGAGCTCAAACATGTTTAATTGGATAAACTCACTTTAGACATGGCATTAGCCTTCAGAACAGGTAGCTAACTTTATATAGTCTAGACTATGTTCAGAGAGTCCTTCTGTGTCATTTTCTTTCTGATTTGAGACCACTGTCCTGGTGTGGGGTCTTTGCTCAAGATCTTGTTCTTTTAACTTACGATACTGATAAAGTTGCACCCGAAACACAAAATAACTGATTGTTTCTCCGTTAAGTTTGCATATTATTTTAAACCCACACTTTACAATTAGACTGGTTTTATAGCTTATATAGATGTTCACATTTCCAGACATCCTGAAGACTGTGGATGTTGTAGTTGATAGGTTTGGGTTGTCAGTTGCTGTCCATGCTTGCAAATCAGATAAAATTAAAACATGAATAATAATTATAAGTGAGGAAATATTTTTAACAAAATTCTTTGTTTATTGTTCGAGCCATTGCTACTTCACCAATAGTTTGCAATGCTTCTACGACTTTCTGCCATGACAGATCTGGATCTTCTCTAAGAACAAGATTAAGTGTTTCTTGCAGGGCAGTTTTTGCATCTCCTTTGTTATCGGTCTTGATTGTGTTCAGCTCTGCAATATTGCTTGTCAGTTGCAACCCAAACTTATACCATTCGGTGGTATGAATGTTGTTGAGCAGATCTCTCAGGTTTGGATGACTCGGCCCCTGTCTTGCTTGCTCCACACCTGCTCCAGCAGTGTCTGCTTGCTCACGAGAGGACGAGTAAGAAACCATCTGTGAAGACTGGAGAGTGTGGGACGGACTGGATAAGGAGCTCTGTAGGTTAAGGCCTGTGGAAGGCAAAAAGATTACTTGTGGAAATTTTTGCAGTGGATAATTACTCACCAGTTTGCCGTAGTTTTGGCTTTAATATGAACCGTTTTCCCTTCCCCCGGATCCCAAGTATCTCCACTGGAATAGGAGAGATGGTACTTGATGTATGATCTTTCTCAACTTCCAGACTAATCATTTGGGGATAAGGATGCCTCTGATGGGAATCCACCATTTCTTTTGTTAACTGTAGACAACATGGTAATAAGCAGTACAAAGCATCAAATTCTCCCACTTACTTCACATGGCTCTCTATCGGGAGTAATCACCCAGCCAGTATTGGATGGCCACTGCAATTTTACCCTGTCCCCTTCAATGCTGATTGGGACGGAAGACGTTGTTGACCAAAGTTGGGTGGAATATTTCTTAATATTTTCTTCAAGTTCCTAATAAAAGACAATGTTACAGTAGCAATGGTGTAAGAAGAGAAACTTACAGTAAAATACAGTTTCTGGTCAAGGAATGCCGAGAAAATAGCTCTATCTCCAAACTGCATCTCTCGATACACTTGGTAAACATATCTGTTTTCATCTGTTTCATCTAGAAGTAGGCCAATAAATTTAAGAAGGATGACAATTCAATTATATCTCACCCCTTGGTTTTTTACTAAGAGGACTGTCTGAAGGAGACGAGTGCTTCTTGCGCTTGCGACCAACACCAACATAACAGAAGTGAGTCAGTGAAATTTGGCCATAATCCTGGCGAGGCTCAAAAACCCCTTTTTCAAGGACTCTGAACTCATATGCTGGCTTTTTGCCAGCCCGTTTTGTGTGAGGAGTGAAAGGTGCAGAGAGGAAGACCATTCTCTCACTGTCCTCCACAGTTTCTAGGTTAGAGAAGTGCCACAGTGTCAGAGTTATTTCTTGAGAGAATTCAAACGTGGGAGATATGAGGAAGACAGGGCTGGCTAGCTCATAGCCATCAGGTAAAAGAAATGGACCATCAAAACATGGCCAGACACTCAGATCCAGCTCTCTGCCCTCGGGGACTGCCCCGGGAGGGATATTAAACTCCACTCCTATCTCCTCTTTCCAGCTGATGTGTGCACCAGCTGATGTCACTGACTGCTTCCATGGATCCCCAAAGAATCGTATTCCTGGATGTTTGCTATCAAACTTGTAGCTGGAAGGTATCCGTGACTATAACAGGAAAAATTTAGCATTAACATTGGCGTAAGAACACCATTGTTATGACTGCTAGCTACCGTTCTTTATCAGAGCCAAGAGTGTGTGTGTGTGTGTGTGAGAGAGAAAGTATCCCACAACAAAAATTGATAAGGGTTGCTGGAACATAAACAATAAAACAACGATATAGGGATGGTGTCATGTAGCTTTGTGCAACTTTGCTGTGTGATGACCCCTTGTTTCTTCCTTTTTGGTGCTTCAAGCCATCCCTATATCCCCCTTTCATTTTGAAGAAATGATTTTTCCACTTGTAAAAACTACAGAACGTTTGGTTAAAGCACTGCTTGCTGAGCTGCCCCATAGCTAGAGAACAGAGTGTCATTGGTTCGAGTCTCACCCGGGATAGCTCTCTTTCCTAAAAAAGTCTTCACTTGTGTCTACGTACACCCTGTGGTTACACTCTTCCTACACATCATAGTGACTCAGTGGTCTACCTTATTAGGAATGTCTCTGGCCCCAGCTCCTAGCAGTAGTTTCACCACCTCTGAGTGACCTTTCCATGCTGCACAGAACAAGGCTGTGCTTCCACTCTGTGTTGATATTATAGAGACCATCATAGCGAATACGAAGTGTTTATAACATATGTTTGTAACATTATGAAAGATACAAGCATTGCATCATTATCTAGTGTAGCACTATACAAGTGTTAAACTACGTAGTTTGTTGCCACA